CTTCAGTCCAAAACAGGCTGCAGTTTCCCGATGCGTAAAGCATAAAGAAAACCTAAACAAAGAGATTACACACATGCACATCCATAAAGACTGCGATCAAAAGTCATAAAACGATATTTCTTACCTTAGTGAAAAGACAGGACAGATGTCAGAGTAGGAATTTCACAATGTGCCAAATGCGCCACACCTTTCAGAGAAGTTGAGAAAGCAACGCCCATTATTAGGTGGAGGAAGTTGAATCATGGAGACGTTTTTACAGAAACTCCTCCTCACTTGTACACAGTAACAGTGTTGCCATGTCATTTGTCTTGTACAGACAGAAAGCAGTAGGATTTATAGCCTACTGTGCCTTTCTCTGTAACCTGACTCCGTTGCGCAACAATCTACCACTTTGAAGTAACATCATCTGCTGCAGAGTGTTTCTGAAACACTTCCTCCTGTACTCAGTGATCAGAATACGACACAGAGACATGAGGAATACATTTAATGAATAGAAAAGAATATAACCTTTTCATTTTTGATGCACTGTATATGTCCTTTATGGTGTAATGCGCTCTCATTTGTCGATCCTTTCAGTGTTTGGTGTTTTTCAAGTCATGCTTGGATTTGTGAATATTGCTTTTCCTTTCAGACCATTTGCATTTTATGGAAACAATACACACCATTTTAATTTGAAAATTTAAAATAAAGACATCACTTCTCTAAACATTTTTCGCATATAACAATGTCATCTATTTCTGTAAATTAACCTTTTGTATATCAAAAAATATAGTCAACATCAAGCAAGAAGAATTTGCCACAAAGGCATTCATAAAATAAATGCAGAATTATTTCAGTGCCACCAGTAACCCACAGAAAGTGTTTCCCAAATCTTAGAAGCCATTAGGTTTCACTAATGAGCCAACAAGCTCTGTAATAACTTACAGTGGGTCCAAAGTCATGTTTGCGCTCAGGGTAGGAGCAAGGAGGACATGAGTCACAGAGAAGGAAGAAGGACGTAAAGAAACAGGAAAACAAATATTTGTTCTTAACCTGTCTTTTCTCTTAACATCATCAGTGAAGGAGCTTCATGTTGGGATCACTATTTTTCATCTACATACAGGCCTGCCTCAGTCAGACTAGCAGAACTATGCCATGTAAATAATAATAACAAATCATTTATTTTTTTGTAATTATACAACTATTTAATGGTTTGGTTGGTATAAGCAAAGTTCATAGATAGCCCTGCTTAACATCCTGAGGCAAAACTTGAAGTATAGGCTATACTCTGCCATCTCACCACAGCATCCTACACTGAAGACATGATGTTATCAAATGCAACCATGGCAACAAGGGTGACCTAAAGAAGACACCAACGTCCTCATCGAGCAGCAGCACCACATGTCAAGTGTATAAACAGATAAATGTATAAAATCCAAGTGAGGTATGAAGTGATAGTCTATACTGAGAGGAGAGGGGCAGTTGCGACATCTTGTGGCCAATAGTAGAGACTACAGCTGAAGAGACCAGAACATGTGAGAAGATAGGAGGATTTGTGCATGATGACACGTTAAGATGCTTTTCAGTGGGTATGGACATTTTTGGGGGGTTCAGTGTGTTCTTAACAGTTAGTCAAATGCAGCATGGTCATTTGCATGGTCGAATAAGATAAAATACACAAAAGGGGTTGGATTAAGTTATTCCTTTCATCACTGAGGCAGGTCACTTAAAATACACTACTGGCAAGTTATTTTAGTTCAAGCTGAATATTGATTGTAATTGTGATTTCTGTGGAGTGGAAAAAGAAAATTAATCATTTTTTCCACTGTATAGGCCTATACAGGATTGGATTGATGCTGCCAACTTTCTAAAAGAGAAACTGAAGATAAATGTTGAAATACTTGTTTGATGTTACGCTATTTATTTGTTTAATTATTTAATTATTTTATTTTATTTAACCTTTATTTAACCACGAAGTCCCACAGAGACTGAAAACCTCTTTTACGAGAGAGACCTGGCCAAGGAAGCAGCCAATCAAAACACATTTAAAATGCAACAGATACGACATATAAATAATAAATCTGAATACAAAATCCACAATAAACCAACACCTAATTTAATTTTGATTTTAATCAAGATAAGCTTGGAAATAACATGTTGTATAGTATCATACGAATCTTAATTATTTTTTGGAAAATTCCATATTTATAAGAAAAACATGATCAGAAACCAAGTCGACTTTCCTGCGTTTATTAATGAACTTCAACAATATAGAACCATGTTATCTAAAGTTAAAAACAAAGAAGCTATCAAATAAATTAGTTATTAAATTGTTATTTTACTATTTATTTTTTAACTGAATTAATTGGGGATTAATAAAGTATATAAATTTTTTTTTAAAAATTATATATATATATATATATATATATATACACACACACACACACACACACATACATACAGTACAGGCCAAAAGTTTGGACACACCTCATTCAATGCGTTTTCTTTATTTTCATGACTATTTACATTGTAGATTCTCACTGAAGGCATCAAAACTATGAATGAACACATGTGGAGTTATGTACTTAACAAAAAAAGGTGAAATAACTGAAAACATGTTTTATATTCTAGTTTCTTCAAAATAGCCACCCTTTGCTCTGATTACTGCTTTGCACACTCTTGGCATTCTCTCCATGAGCTTCAAGAGGTAGTCACCTGAAATGGTTT